GTGTGCTGCAGATTTTTAGCTCCAACCCTAATCAAACACACCCGAACAAGCTGATCAAGGTCTTACTAGGTATACTTCAAACACTCAGGCAGGTTTGCTGAGGCAAGTTGGAGCTAAACCCTGTGAGGCACCGGACCTCCAGGAACGAGATTGGTGACCCCTGGTATAGGTGTTTCCCAGTACTGGGTTATTGCTGGTAGGACATCGCTGTGGAAAACATTTGCTGGAATAGTAGGCGATTCATTCTGCTGTGGCAACCCTGATATACAAGGTACTAAGTCAAAGAAAATTTTTCTAAAAAGTTAATTAAAATAAAAATGTATTTGCATTACATATTTTAAAAAGTCAAAAGTCATGTGTAACAGGGTTTCTGCAGGGTCTTAAAGTCTTAAATCTCAAAGTCCAAATTTAAGGCCTTAAAAAGTCTTAAATTTACTGAAGTATTGTGTTTTCCCTTGTTCATGTATTGCTCCTAAATCTGGACAAAACCCATAGAATCACCAACAATCATCTCATCTAAACTTATTAAAAAAAAAAAAACATTTTTTTTAACTATTTATCATAATAATTTAATTATTTTCCTTACAATAACATTTCTTTAAACACCCTTTATGTATTTACTGCTGAGGGTCCCGGCCTGGACAGAATGTTGAGCATAGATTTAGTTTATTATAGTTTTTAAAACTTTTAAAACATTTGTTCTTTTTTTATTTTACAGAAAGTTTATCTTTGAAAAGTGTGTGGATCCAAGTAGAGCTTGCTTGTTTTTACCCAATATTTAAAATATTTGGCTAATAAATGAAATCTCAAATATTAAAATCTTTAGTATTAATGTATTATTGTATTTTTAAATGTTATCAATTCTTATTATCATTTTTGATTGAGAAAATAAAACTTTTCCATCTGGGCCATTTGAATAATTCCTTAGCCCTTTATGGGTCTAAAATCTCATTTATAATGGTCTTAAAAATTTCTTTACTGTAAATGTCTTAAATTTAGGCCCCATTTACACTAATAAGTTTTAGTTTAAAAACAGCGTTTTAGAATGAAAACAATACGCGTCCACACAACTGAGTTCTGAACAACTCTCCACCCACACTATAGCGCTGTAAACCCGCATCACATGACCATACACGAATTCTGGCATGTGCTGAAAGCTGCTTCAGCGTATTCTCATGTCTGAGCTCCAGGCAGTTAGCAGGCGCTCTGAGCATACCCGCCCAGCTGAGTGTAGCCAAATGTGTGTGGCGACCCCTGATTAATAAAGGGATTAAGCTGAAAAGAAAATGAACGAATGATTAAAATGACAGCTTAGTGATTATTATATTCAGCTATTTGATATATTACCATGCATTTCCTCTGATAATCTTTACTGTGTGCATACAGCCTGACACTAAGCACATACTGTCAAAACCACACAGTGAGCCTAACGTTTCATATTTTTTAAAGAAAATGAAAGGAGTCAGTTAGAGGCTCCATTTTGTTATAAATATGCATCAAGTGAAGATGACGGGCATATAAATATGTAGGTCTACATAATGCCATACTTTTTTGGTGTCTGTTAAGTTAAATTTGTTAATATAAAAATTAAAAGAGACTTTATTTAATGTTTTCATTCTATAGTTAAGAGAGTGAAATGTAGCCAGGGTGAACGACGTTATAAAAGTACACTGCAGTTACATCTGAAGATTCACCCGACCTGTCGACGGGAGTTTATTATAAACTTGTATAGTCTGAATTTACGAGGAATATATGCAAGATTGAACTTTGTGTACTTAATATTGAGAAAAATCCCCAATCAGACGTGCCATGCCTCCGTTTTCAGATGTCTCCATTTTCACCCATCTTAGAAACACACAGTGTTTTAAAAACAAAACGGCCTCCTCAGCGTTTCCAAAACACTCAGTTTTCAGGGCTCGAAAACTCTGGGGAAGTGTGGAGAGATGCCGTAACCGTAGCAAAACTTATGCACTTTAAAACTAAAACATATTAGTGTAAATGGGGCCTTATAGAGCAGGAGTGTCTAAACTTAGTCCTAGAGGGCCGGTGTGCTGCTGAGTTGAACTCCAATTGCTTCAACACACCTGCCAGAAGGTTTCTAATATATCTTGTAAGAGCTTGATAAGCTGGTTCAGGTTTGTTTGATTAGGGTTGGAGCTAAACTCTCCAGGACACCAGCCCTCCAGCACCGAGTTTGAACACCCCTGCTAGAGTTTGTACCAAAATGCCAAAAATCAATCTTTGATTGTGTCCAGCAAGTCTTTTTTTTTAATCCATCGGAAGCTGACTGAATTATGGGTAATGATGAGTGGCCTTTCTTGAAAAGCAAAAAAGTTGTTAAAAATATAGAGAAAAAAAATCATAGTTCTAACGTGTATAAAACCTAAATAAAGTCAATTCTGAACGCATGCAGACTTAAAAGAGGATATCTGATCCTGCCTGGAAGGTTTTGCACAGCCAAATAGCCAACAGAGCAGTGTGAGACAGGCGTAACCAGGCCAAGATAATGTGGTTAGCATGTCCTCTCAGCCAGGATGAACTAGAGTAGATGTGAGCAGCAAAAACCACAGGAATCCCGAGCTGACCATCTTTTCGAAGTCAGCATGAATGCATCATCACATGTAAGTGGGCGGAAGGGAGAAAAACCACCGTGACCTTCATTAGGACCACAGAGAACCAGGCCAAAAGTCATCACCGCAATGATTTGTATACTTTTGCTTTGTAAGTTAATTTCCTTATAAGCTGTTCCATAATACAAAAATGCAAGTTTCTATATGTAAATATCTGCATTCATTCATTTTCCTTCAGCTTAGTCCCTTTATTAATCAGGGGTCGCCACAGAGGAATGAACGACCAACTTATCCAGCATATGTTTTACACAGCATATGCCCTTCCAACTGCAACCTAATACTGGGAAACACCCATACACATTCATTCGCACACATACACTATGACCAATTTAGTTTGTTCAATTCACCTGTACCGCATTTCTTTGGACTTGTGGGGGAAACGGAAGCACCCGGAGGAAACCCATGCAAACACAGGGAGAACATGCAAACTCTACACAGAAAAGCCAACTGACCCAGCTGGCACTCAAACCAGTGACCTTCTTACAGTGAGGCAACACTGCTAACCACTGAGCCACCATGTCACCCTATCGGCTTTTATTTCACATGTATTTCTGCAATACGCATAAATTGAGCACATAAACTATATAGACATGAACTAAGCACAAATGTGTCAATATGCAATATCATAATATGCCGTGTGCAATTCTGCCTACTACATTTATGAAGGCAAAATTATTAGCTCTCCTATAAAATGTTTTATTTTTAAATATTTCTCAAGTGCTGTTTGAATGGGGGGGGGGGGGGGGGGGAATCAACATTTTAAAAACATAATAGATTTAATAAGTAATTAATTTTGTATGTGCCATGATGACAGTGCATTATATTTTACTAATTATAATACAAAGACACTAGAGTTCAGCTAAATGTGCAATTCAAAGGCTTAATTAGGTAAAAAGGTTTTCTAGACAAGGTATTGGACAACTGGTTTGTTTTGTAGCCAATCAGAAAACAAATTCTGCAAGTTTCTACATTTTATTTATTTTATTTTTATATTATTCAGAAGGTTATGATTTGCATTAATTAAATAATTATTTTGGACAGTTTTATTTTACATGGTTAGGAGATGCAAAACGCAAACGTTTCAGCACAATGTCTTCCTCAGTGCTTGACAATCCTCGCATTCCACCCTCTTATTCTACAATTAATCACATTACGTCATTAGTTAGACGAGCACTCAATAGTTAAAAACATCTTGTTTTCGTTACAATATACTGCAATTAAACGCACAGGGGCGACGCAGTGGCGCAGCAGGTAGTGCTGTCGCCTCATAGCATGAAGGTCGCTGGGTCGAACCTTAACTCAGTTAGCGTTTCTGTAAGGAGTTTGCATGTTCTCCCTGCGTACAGGTGAATTGGGTAGGCTAAATTGTCCACAGTGTATGAGTGTGTTTATAAGTGTGTGGATGTTTCCCAGAGATCGGTTGCAGCTGGAAGGGCATCCGCTTCGTAAAAATGTGCTGGATAAGTTGGCGGTTTAATTAATAAAGGGACTAAGCCGACAAGAAAATGAATGAATGAATAAACACACAGAATATTTTCCTTTACCTTCAAAGTATTATCTCCATTGTACAGGAAAGTAACATTGTAAGTGAGGCCAACAGGGGGCGCTCAACCTGCAGTCTGTGTGGCTCCTAATGCCCCATATATATATATATATATATATATATATATATATAATTCAAATTTGTTACAACTTCCTGTCCAGGGACTACAGATGTAAATTAGCTTTATAGCTAACTCTGGCACAACGTGTCATGTTGTACATTGTCCCTGTATAAATAAATAAATAAATGATTCTGTATGAATTATATAACAAACTGTATAAATGTGCTTCAGTGTTATACAAGAAAAATACATTCAATCTTTAATTTGTATATACCTTTATATTATACATATGTTGTTAATATATCCTACATAAAACTGTTTTGTAATGATATTTTGTACTGATTTTATTTAACTAAAAATTATTTTATTAACTGTCTATGTTGGTATAAAATTTGGGTGGGACTGTGCATTCATTTTACCAGATCACATCTATGTTATTTAAAAAGCACCAAACCAACTTTAAACAGCAGTGTTAACCCTGACCTGTACACACCAGAACTAATTCCCAAGTCTTCAGAGGCATGCAGATCATTCCATACCAGCAAGCTTTTGAAGTCTGATGTTTCACTCAGTCAATGCTGGCTTTCATACAGATTCTCCATGCTCCACTATTTGCCCCAGTCAGCCACTAAAGTGGACTCCAGTAGAGCCCAAACATCATCACACGTCGTCAATGAGCACTTTGTGCAAAGAGAAACCCAAAGAAATTCCTCCACTGATTTGACCTGACCTCTCTGTTTTGTTTCCCCCTTGTCCAAACCCTTAGTCACCCACCACGATCCTGAAAACACCTTCAACAGTATCATCGAGCCTCCATCTGTGGTGGACCAGCCTTCTCCGTCATGGTCATCCCAGGAATCTTTCTCTTCCTTCGAGAACAGCGAAGACGGGCCGGTTTACTGCGTACCCCATGAAGGTGAGGATATAAGGCATCTGTTTGCACAACATGGAAAAGAGATTAAGGGAGTTTAGAAATCTCTTGACAATTGACCCAATTCGGCAGTAAACATTTGCCCTGTGGGTGCGTCTATCACGTGCATTGAGATAATAAACACTCTAAATGCTATAAATGGCCGAGTCAGCTGATGCAGCGCTTTCAGGATGTGACTCAGGAGTTTCTGCACAAATTGTGGCGTGGGAGATGCTGAAATACTGATATAAAAGCACTTTAAGGAAAATACTGAGGCACTGTTTGATGATATGGTGAATTTTGGTGGTTGTAAGCATATAATATTCTTTTGTTGTTACTAGAAGTACTTCTGTAGAGTACAAATGTACAGTTAAATGCAGATTTATTTTACCCAATTTCTGTTAAACAAAGATTTTTCTAAACATAATAGTTTTAATAACTCCTTTCTAATAACTGGTTTCTTTTATCTTTGCAATGATGACAGTATTTAATATTTGACTAGATATTTTTAAGACACTAGTAATTAGCTAAAGTTACATTTAAAGTCGTAAGTAGGTTAAATAGGCAAGTTAGGGTAATTAGGCAAGTCATTCTCTAACTATAGCTTGCTCTGTAGACAATAAAAAAGTGTGTGTATATATATATATATATATATATATATATATATATAGCGACAGTGTACAGCCATTTTCAGATGTCTCCAGAGATGTTTAATAAGATTTAGGTCTGGGCTCTTGCTGGGCCACGCAAGGACATTCAACAAGTTGTGAAGCCACTGCTTTGAGACATTGTCCTGCTGGAGGATGAACTGTCGCCCAAGTCTGAGGTCAAGGGCACTCTGAAGCAGGTTTTCATTCAGGATGTCTCTGTACATCGCTGCATTCATCTTTCCCTCTATCCTGACTAGTCTTCCAGTTCCTGCTGCTGAAAAACATCCCCACAGCATGATGCTGCCACCACCATGCTTCACTGTAGGGATGGTATTAACCTGGTTTTCTGCAAACGTAATGCCTGGCATTCACTCCAAAGAGTTCAATTTTATCTGTGGAAACAAAATGTCCCTGAGCTCAATTTGGAGCTTCATGGCAAAGGCCATCAATACTTATGGACATGTGATTTTTCAGTTTTTTTTATTTTTAATAAATTTGCAACAGTTTCAAAACTCTTTTCACATTGTCATTATGGGGTATTGTGTGTAGAATTTTGAGGGAATAAATCAATTTAATCCATTTTGGATTGCTGCCACCACCATGTTTCACTGTAGGGATGGTATTAGCCTGGTGATGATCGGTGCCTTGTATTCTCCAATCGTAACACCTGGCATTTACTCCAAAGTGTTCCTTTTTAGTCTCATCAGACCAGAGAGTTTAGTTTCTTATGGTCTGAGAGTACTTTATATGCCTTTTGGGAAATTCCAAGTGGGTAGTGTCTTCCGACTGGCCACTGTACCTACAGGCCTGATTGGTGGATTGCTGCAGAGATGGGTGTCCTTCTGTAAGGTTCTCTTCTCTACACAGAAGAACGCTGAAGCTCAGACAGAGTGACCATCAGGTTATTGATCCCCTCCCTGACTAAGGCCCTTCACCCTCGATCACTCAGCTTAGATGGCCAGTCAGCTCTAGGAAGAGTCCTGGTGGTTCCAAACATCTTCCACTTACGGATGATGGAGGCCACTTGGCTCATTGGAACTTTCAGAGCAGCATTTTTCCTGTAACCTCCCCTAGTCTTTTGCCTCGAGATGCCTTGCGCTTTGACATGCACTGTCAACAGTATAAGAGGGGGAACACATCAAACTTATAAAACATTTGAGGGCTCATAGAATCAATCTAAAGGCAGAGGATAGCCGTGACTAAGTTTACATGGACACCAATACTCAGATTTTAATAAGATTAAGACAATACTCTGATTAAGAGTCTACCATGTAAACAGCGATTTTTGATTACCTTAAAGGACCACAGACACCAAAGTCATGAACTGCGGAGGTTTTTTCTTTTTATTTGGCGTGCGGTATCACATTCGATTGAAACAACACTCCTCCACCAGTCCTTACTTCATATTCTCATTCAATACCTCAGTTTGTTGCTGAATAAAAGTGAAACTGCCAAACTGAAGTGAAAGTCAACAAATGTTAAATTAAAATTACCTGAAACTGCGAAGGAAATAGGTTGGTGACGCAATGACGTTAATCAATCTATTTTCTATAACATTTAACATGAAATCATGAAATGAAAACTTCAAAAAAGTAACTCATTTATTGTCTTGTTCAGATTAAGGCAAATCGTTTAATAAGGCAATAATAGATTACTAACATCCATGTAAACATGATCACAAGCCCCAACCCTTGAAAAACAACCTTCCTGACAGCCTTCCACAGGTTAGTAGAAAGGTAATGTTAATTGTATAATGTAAATCTTGCATTCATGCTAACAAACACATGATCAAAAGAAATATATAAATGCAATTAAAATATATAAAATATGAATTGATGTTTAATTTAAACTTATTATAAATGAACAATTTAATAATAAATTTATTTTGATTAAAATATTTTTGTCAAATAATTGTGGCTCAAAAGTATTGGTTCAGGCACCGTTTTAAAAGTATCAATGTTGCACCGGTATTGAAATCACCCCAAACGATACCCAACCCAAGTAATGTACCAATCTTACACACTAAAATTATATACGGTTATAATTTTCAGACTAATCAAACAATGATGAATGTCAAAAAGATATTAAAAAATTGCCTGATATTATGTCCAGTTTATTTTCAGATGTCTTCATTAAAGTCATTCATTTACTCCCATTTTTCTTGCAGAGACTACAAACGAAAGTTGTGAAAAGCGCAGTTCTAGTGCCATTCCAGAAACATCATCGACACCTAATGAGGACGACGCAGGCGAGTACACATCCCTCAAAGAGACAAGAGAACCCACAAAAACATTTGTAAGCGATGGGACGGAGCAGCCTCTGCTCAAGTCTTCCGACAGTGAGTGCTCCACCAGCGGTTCTGAGTCCACCATCGCAGCCGTTTACGCCCATGTCGCCCGCCTTTCCAAACACTCCAAAGAGGACGACGACAGCGCCTCGCCAGAGAAGACCAAAGAAAAGACCAAACCTCGTCCTCCAGACCCTTCCACCAAACCAAAGGTGTCCTGGATCCACGGAACATCTGGAAACAACCCACCAGAGACTCCTTCACCACAAAAAGAAAAGAAGAACAGCTCTGAAGGTTCTGGAAAGGGTGACGAGAAGCAGAGATCGAAGGAGAGATCCAGCAAGAACCGGGAAAAGCATCAGGATAATAAAAAAGCAGACGAATCCCCTAGCAAAAGCATCTCTCACAAAGCTTCGGACACCATTGAGCATCTCAACGGAACATTCCAGAACGCCCTGAAGAAGATCGGAAACTTCCATTCAGATAAGAAAACTAATGACGCCAATAAAGATCCACCCAAGAGCCCGAAAATCATGCACCCTCACATGAACTCTGAGGCCGCCACGCTACTCGCGGCTCAGCTAAAAGAAAAAACCCAAAGCCTTAACCGAAATGAGGGTCTCACAGTGGGCATCAAACCCAACGGCATCTCAACACCTCAAGCCAACCGAGAGAAACCCACGCCACCTCAAAAAACCAAACGCTCCGCAACCGGGACCAACAAGCCCCTTCTTCCCACTTCCAGCAACCTCCAGAAGATGGTGGCTCCTATTTCAGACTCTACTCCTGAAGCCAAAAGCCCAGAAAAACAAGGGCTCAATGGGACCAGAGTTGAAGGAGATGCCACACCCAGGAAAACACCCATCAAAAAACCACCGAGGAAGAAAGGAAAGGAGGGAACGCCGGAGACGGAAGGCAAAACCACTCCAAAGACGGCCATTATGCCACCTCAGACTGTCAAATAGATCCATGTTTGGTGCGCTCATTTTTGAGAACGATTACAAACGTACACTTTCTCTATTCTTTTGTTTCAAACTATATAGGAATTGGATGGATTTTTGGTTTCTTTTATACGGATGAGCTGCTTTTAGGATTTAATATTTTGAAGGATCGCGGTTCTTGCTAACTCTTTGAAGTCCTGGAATCGGAAAAAACGTCAAGGCTTAAAAAAAGGAAGAGTAAATGCATTTAATAAGCTCATTTTTGTACGCTCTCAGTTTCACGTATGCATTACTCCACCAAATTTCCCAACGCTTCTTTATGCATTGTTTGATCAGCAGGTTTGTTTGTCTGAAAAGTTTGTATTTAGCACGGTATTCAGAGGTGTAAAGTATGAATCAAAGGTACTTTAAAGGTACAGGAGGAATGATGCAGATATTAAATCTCAGGCCATATTCACATGTATATTCAATATCTTTTAATAGATGTCATGAAGGAAATAGTTTGCTTTGTTTCAATGACACTTATGTTCATCAATGCTGCACCTAGCATCATGCTTTTTAAGCTTAAATTGACTCTTGCTAATCCACAGGGACATACATATATTTGCTGCTGAATTGAAACAGTAAAGCTTGATTTAATTGTTTCTATAAAGCACTCGGTAACACATTCGTTTTAGTCCTAATGAAGTATCAAATAGATTTGGTTGAAGGAAGTCCACCAAAGCCAGATGAATATGCACTTCTGTGATGCTGCATTTTTAGGGATGCACTGAATTTGTCGGTCACCAAAAACATCTGATAATTATTATCGATTGTTATGACCCACGGCGCATGCCTTGCACGTAGCAATGCATTTATACTTCTGTGTGCTGTTTGTGTTGCTCTGCAATAACACTTCCAAAACAATCTTAATCTTAGCCACTCGTAATGTTTTTTGGGGGGTGAAGATTTGGTCACACTTTATTTTGATGGTCCGTTTGTTGAATTTAAGTCACATTACATTTACATGCCAACTAATTCTCAATAGATTATAAGTAGACTGTTAGGTTGGGGTTATGGCTTAGTGTAAGTTGACATGTACTTGCAAAGTTTCATATAGTCAGTTAAATGTCTGTTTAGCAGCAGTATCAACAGATATTAAGCAGACAGTCTAGTAATACTCAAATGGACCATCAAAATAAAGTGTTACCGAATTTAGTGCAGAGCCCTGGGGATTGAAGAGAGGCTGGATTGACCAACAACCCTTACCCTCTAGATCCGAAGTTTGTTTTTCTAATGTTTTGATGCTATAAAAACAGTTTAGTAGAGCTGGTACACTGAAAAAAAAAATATTCAGAGATGATTCCTTGGATTTACTCAATTTTTTTACGTTAAGTGGTTGTAAACAATTTATTTGTGTTGAATTTAAACAAACAAATTAAGTTGAACATTATTAAACTGAATTTGTTTGTTTAAATTCAACACAAATAAATTGTTTGCAACAGTTCTGCATGCAACACTTTTTTCAGTGTAGTTTTTCAATATCGTGCCCCCTTTTTTGTGATAAACAGCACAGGCCCCAAACTACTTGTAACATTTTGGCTTCACTTTTTATTGACTTCCGAATTCGCAGCACTTCCATTGGAAATTATTAAAAACAAAACATTCTCTGGGATAAAAATGCTTTGGTGGATACAGGCCCCAAGTCAATTTCTGCTGGCATTCAGGCTGTCTATAAGCTATTATTAGTTCCAAAAATGTAAAATCAGCACTTAAATAAATAATTCTTCAGTAACTACCTTATATCTCAATCATTGAGCTTTCTTGCATATCTCACATGCTTATCTATACATGACCAAAGGTGCATAGTAACTTTGGCATTAGAAAGGAGCATTTTAGGAAATATTTGTTTTACATAACTGCCATAGTTGGCACTACCTGACAAAAGTCTTGTCGTTGATTCCAGTTGCAAGAGCAACAAATAATAACTTGACTTCTAGTTAATCATTTGGAAAAGTGGCAGAAGGTTTTTTCAGATGAATCATCTATTGAACTGCATCCCAATCCTCACAAATACTGCAGAAGATCTATTGGAACTCGCATGGACCCAAGATTCTCACAGAAATCAGTAAAGTTTGGTTAAAGGAAAAATCATGGTTTGGGGTTATATTCAGTATGGGGGCGTGCGAGAGATCTGCACAGTGGATGGCAACATCAACAGCCTGAGGGATCAGGACATTTGTGCTGCCCATTACATTACAAACCACAGGAGAAAGCAAATTCTTCAGCAGGATAGCGCTCCTTCACATACTTCAGCCTCCAAATCAAAGTTCAAAGCAAAGAAAGTCAAGGTGCTCCAGGATTGGCATGCCCAGTCACCAGAATAAACATTATTGAGCATGTCTGGGGTAAGATGGAGGCTTTGAAGATGAATCCAAAGGATCTTGATGAATGCTGGGAGTCCTGCAAGAATGCTTTCTTTGCCATTCTAGATGACTTTATTAATACATGATTTGAGTTCTTGCAGAGATGTATGGATAGAGTCCTCCAAGCTCATGTGAGTCATACACAATATTCATTCTTTTTCCACTGCACCATGACTTTATATTCTATACTGTTAATTATTTCTGTTAAATGACTTTTGTCTAAGCAAAGTCAGACCTTACTGTCCTAATTAAATAATTAAAATCAAGGCATGATCATATTTTATTTTCCTAAAATAAGCGTAATCTAGGGGCCTTTGTCTTTCATATAAGCCACTTCTGATACCAAATGATCGACTAGAAGGTCAAGTTATTATGTGTTGTTCTTAAAACTTGGATAGGCAACAAGACTTTTGTCAGGTAGTGTAAATATATGTGGGACAAAGCTGAAAATTGTCATACATTTTTGACCATGTTTTACAGAATACACTCGCTGAATTTCCATACAGTGTAACAATAGTTAATATCCTTGGGGAAAAACCATATTAAAGAATCCAGTGCAGCCTCAGTACATGAATTAACTGTCATTTGCATCTTTATACTTTGCCACTATCATTTAAACCACTAGATGTTACACATTTGTCAGAAAAAATAAATGTTTTTAGTAATTTAAACGTATAAAATTTCGTATGAGTGCTTATATATTTATATACTGCTTTATAACAAGTACAGGTAAGAATAAGTAATATGTCATTTCATTTTTACATTAATATATCATTTACGCTGAATGACGATGGAACAGAACACATCTGTCACAAAAGATTTGCTTTAATTGCATGTAAAATGCTTTCTATGTGTATAACTTTACATTTGTTCATTTCATTTTGATGCAGACACTAAAACTGGCCGTCTCATCTGTAGCTGTAGGCCTTACAAACATTATTTACCAAAGAAGCAATACTTAACCTGCCACAGATACAATCATAAGGCCTGAAAGACGGCAGCATTAATTCCTTAGATTTTATGTATACAATGACAGTTCATAACTACACTGTAAAAAAATAAATACAATAAATGTTTTCGTATATATTGTTTTCCATTTATTTAGAGTTGTGAATTGCATTATGAGATCTGGATCTCTGATGACTTTTGATGCTAAAAATTCAACCCTACAGTTGAACAAAGTGACTTTTATTGTCATGTTAGTAGTTTAAAACAACAAAGATATAATATGTAGAGAAATAAGTCTGTAAAATAACAGAAAACGTACTGGGAGTTTATTACAAGGGTTTGTCGCGTAATATACACCAACCCATACAATAAATCACTTTAAACTATTAAAAATGTTAATAAAAGTCACTTTTTTTTTTCAAACTTTAAGGATAAAAATGCTGGAAGAAAGATCAAGATCCCATAATGCAATAAATAAATGGGACAAAAGAAATAAAATTAATAAAAAATACAGAAAACTGCTAATTTATGGATTTATTTTTTATTTTTTTTGCAGTGTATTAAGTATTTTTGGTTTCGATCTGAAACACCCCAGAGCACTTGCAAATATTTTAGCATCAAACCAAAATAATAAAAAAATAAATAAAAGAAAGAAATGCAGTAATAGTTGACTAAAACGTGTATGAATGCCTACATTTTGATGAAGAGCTGCAAATTAAATGTGCCTAAAGCATTTATATATATTTTCTTCTCCACAAAATTTGACATTGTAGTGTACAGTAACTGCCATTTCCTTCTTATGGTACCTTCTATTTTTCTACATGCTAAGATATTTTGTAATAATATTTGTACCTTCATCTGTAAGCTGTGCTTATACAACTTATATCCTGCTTTATTTGTGTGTGTCAAATGAACTGGTTTTCAAATTTGATTACATTCTTTGTTGTTGTTGTTGTTGTTTGTATAAACATCAGGTACGTTTGATTTTTATCATTGAAATATCCCTCAACGTCTTCACGTTTCTCTGTGGATGTTATTGTTTTTTTTTAATGAACGATAAACTGCATGATGCAGAGGTCAGTGATTGGTTAAATATCTATGCATGTTGTGTTTGTTCGTACTGCCTTTCTTTACATACGACAAAAAAACTACTTTTCATGTTTTTTTGCACGAATTCACATTACCAGTCGCAGTATATGATTTACAGAAGTATAAACAACAGATTTTTCTCTGCTCTTGACTTCAGAGACATCTTTTGACTGGAGCTCGGCTATAAAAAAATATGGAGCATTATCAATAACACACATTAAGTCCATTTCTTTTGTCCTGATTGTTTGGAGTTTCTGTTGTTGATGTGTGGTTGTTCAGTTACCGTATTTGAAATAAAAGCAAACCTGTAGCTCATGAATCTAGAGAGTTAACATATTACATGGCTCTTCCTTCACTAGATCTGAACATTTGGATATGTTGTGTTTGACTTTTAATGAAGGGCTTTGGGATTTGGAGCAACATGAAAGTAATTTTATAATTTTTGGGTGAACTATCCCTTTAAACACAATATAGTTAAGAAATATTTTGCTATTGTTTGAGTTTTTAGATAATATTTATTGTTATAGCCAACTAGTAAGTTTAGTAGTGCTAAATAGAGGTATTGGGAAAATGAAGAGCAAATGTAACCATCTTAATAATATTCAAATTTACATATAGTTGAAGTCAGAATTATTTGATTTTTCTTCTTTTTATAAATATTTCCCAAATGATGTTTAACAGAGCAAGGAAATTTTCACAGCATGTCTGATAATATTTTTTCTTCTGGAGAAAGACTTATTTGTTTTATTTTTGGCTAGAATTAAAACAGTTTTTAATTTTTTAAGAACATTTTAAAGGTCAAAATTATTAGCCTATATATATATATATACACATATATATATATATATATATATACATATATACATATATATATATATACATACATATATACATATATACACACATATATATATATATATATATATATATATATATATATATATACATTCTCCTGAACCTCACACCGAAAAAAAATCATTCAAAGATGATTCCTTGGATTTACTTTTTTTTTTTATGTTAAGTGGTTGTAAACAATTTATTTGGGCTGAATTAAAA